GTTTCTTTTTATTTTCTTATTGTGTATTTAAGTTTAAAATAATTTTTTAAAAAAAATACATAATACCCAAATTAACAGAATACTAAAGGTCATGAAACATTAAATTTCAGAAAAGGAAATTTAAATAGCTGGAAATGAAATATTTGGGGAGGGGGAGAAGGAGCCCTTGTCTACATGGATTTATAGGAGAATTCTTTCAAATATTTAAAGATAATTAATTGTTTTCCTAGCCAAATTATCCTCAAAAATTGAGAAAGAAAACTCTACCAAACTCCCTTTAGGAAACATATGTAGTCCTGATGTGTTACCTTCTCTAGGGTGCCTTTCCTGATTTCTTCAGCTAATAGTATCACCTCCTCTAATGTTACTTTTCATCTAAACTAGGTGTGTATGTGTGTGTGTGTGTGTGTGTGTGTACACGTGTGCATGTGGCACACATGTGTTCTGATTTATGTTGTGTCCCCCATCAGATTGTGAGCTCCTCACAGACAGGGACTGTTTTTGCTTTTTCCTTTGACTCCCTAGTAGTCAGTACAATGCCTAGCATATGGTAAGCACTTAACAAGTGCTTATTGGTTTATTGATTAAAAATAAAAATATCCAAACCAAATTAACAAATCAATAGGTGCATAAAAATACTTTGACACAATAGGAAGCTAATTTGTGCCAAAATTCTACTAAATAAGAACCATTTTTAAAAAATGAAATAAAGCAAAAGTATCTAAAGTAAAACCTACCATCATAGACAATACGGAAACATACACACACACACACACACAGACACACACAAAAGATTAAACTAGGATTTCCCCATTCTCCACTGTTATTTGAAACAGTCCTAGAAATGCTAGGCATCTCAATAAGACAAGAGAAAGAAATAAATGAAATTTTTAAAAAGGCAAAGAGGAAACAAAACTCTCTGCTGATAACATGTTGGGTTACTTATTAAGTCCTATGGAAGCAGCAAAGAAACTAATTGAAACAATTAATAGCATCAATAAAATGTTAAAATAAAAATAAACCCATAAAATCAAGAGCAATAGGTAGTAATAATAAAATCCAGAATGGAACAATAGAAAGGGAAATATCTTTCCAAATAACAGCAAAACGCACAGTTTGTCTGGTAATGGATTGACCAAAGTGCACTCATACCTGAATAGATACTATTTCAAAATCTCCCTTAGAAAAAATAAAGAACAAGTTGAATAACTAGAGGGTCATTAATATTCACGATCGTTCTGTGCTGTAACAAAAATGACAATATTATTTAAATCATTTTAGTGATTTGGTGCTATATTAATCAAACTTCCGAGGAATACTTTTCAGACCCAGGCAAAAATGATAACAAAATTTATTTAGAGGAAGAAAAAATATAGAATATCAAGGGAAACACTGTGAAAAGAAAGAGTAACAGAGGAATAGCACTCTCAGTACTTAAAACTACACACACAAATACAGACACACACATACAGTAATAATCAACAAAACTATTTGGTATTTGTTTCAAATTAGGAAAAAATAAAGATAGAAGTCATAGTGGATAGAGAGCTATCCTCAAAGCTAGGAGAACCTGGGTTCAAGTCCCAACTATGATACAAACTGGATGGGTGACCCTGGGAAAGTCACTTAACCTCTCAATACTCTAGGCAAATCTCTAAGATAGATTGCAAAGAAGATGCTAAATTGCAATGGTAGAAAGAATTTCTGTTGGTACATGAAATTTCCAATGAAATTTTAAATACATCATTAAAATCTATCTCTAAAAATATAAAAGTAGATCAATAGACTAGACAAAGAAAAATCAGAAATAATCAAACTCAATAACCCAGTGTATGATAAACCCCAAAACATAAATAACTTAGGAAAGAATGTGTACGTATTTGACAAGAATTAAAGAGGAAGCTGGAAAGTCATCTGACAGAAATTAGGATTCAACCAGAGCTTTACATCACACATTATAATAAACTAAAAATAGTTATAGAATATGAATAGTAAAGGTCACAGCATTAAAAATTTAGAATAGAGGCAGATCAGAGACCTTTCATAGCTATGTTTAGAGGGTGAATTCTTAATGAAATGAGGGATAGAGATGATTTCAAAAGGTATGGAATAGAGAGATAGCAATGAAAGAAAAGGATAATGATATAGGACTCATCTGTACTTTTCAAAGTGCTTTCCTCGCAACAGTCCTGTGACATGGTAGGAAGTGCACATATTCCTATTCCTATTCTACCAAAGAGTAAAGGGAGACTGAGAAGTCAAGTGGTTATAAGATGAGTAGGTGGTAAAGCTAAGTGAATTTTGAAGGTAGAATGCATAGGGCTTGGTCATCAATTGTATAAGGGACTAAAGAAGAAGGACAGAGTCATAACCACATTGTGACATTTGAGAATGCTTGGGTCTTGCTAGATAGATGTCCCTTCCCACCACACACCCCTACTCCAACCTACAGTTACAAGATGTTGAGGGAGGAATTCATTAACAGTTTGAATATTGAGGAATATCTACCATTACTCCAGCATTTCTGGAATAGCAGACATGTTCTGTCTTGGGAACTCTAATGTTGAATTGGGGATTTTTCGGAGAGAGAAGTACAATAGTCCTGAGTCCTCTGTCACTGGCTGGTTAACACTGCCAATCAGCATCGGACCAGCCAATAATAACCAATTGAAAGGCGAGGTCAACTAGTCTCACTGCATTTCCATTTTACCAAAGGCCTTCCATGCCTTAAGAAACCAAACTAATGAATCACATAGGGATTGTACAAACTATAGCAAGGCCAACTGGGCTGATATTTGACAGGAGAACTTTTTCATCTGACTTTGCTGCTATTCATGTCTGACTCTTTATCACCCCATACGGGGTTTTCCTGGCAAAGATACAGATTGGTTTGCCGTTTCCTTCTCTAGTTCATTTTACAGATGAGGAAACAGGGAAACAGAGGTTAAATGATTTGCCCATGGTCACGTAGCTAGTGAGTGTCTGTGGCCAGATTTGAATTCAGGTTTTCCTGACTCCTGGTCCTGTGCTTTTTTGCACTACCCACCTGCCCATTTACTTACATGTAAGACCAACCTTTTCTTCCCACTCTCTCCATGTGTACACACATATATATATAAACACAGAAATATATATACACACATATAACTGCAACACATTGTATACATGTGTGCATATCAGTGCATATATATATGTATATGCTTATTTCTATGTGGATATATGTATTGATTGTACACATATACATAGATATATAGCACATATACATGTAATTCATTACCTACCTTATTAGCCTTCTTGCTTCCATAAATATGCCGTAGCATCACTAGACTTTGTATACGTGTGTACATCAGTGTACATATATGTATACCTGTTTGTATGTGGATATATGTATCATGTGCATATATATGTATAGATGTCTATAATCTATTGATACAATATGTATAGATATATGATAATATACTGATACAGTATATATAGATATACAATACACATACATGCACATAATACTAATATCCACAAATAGGTATACATATATGTGCACTGATGTACATACATGTACATGAAGTCTGTGATGCCATGGCACATTTATGGAAGCAAGAAGGCTAATGAGATAGGTGAGACAGCTTCCTCTTTGGGGACTAAGACCCATCCTGATTGTAGCCTATCAGGGATGTGGGAGCAAGTCACTCTGAGCTGGTATTTTTGATTATGGGTGCCCTACATTCAGAATTCAAAGTTATCCTCCAATGTTCCCAGTTATTAAGAAATCTCATTTCAAGTCACAGAAATTCTTGAAACCAGACAAACAGTTTACCAGATCCTCAATCAGGGAAATTTATGACACCAGGGTAAGAAGTGGGAAGGATATTCCCCCCTAGGGTTAAATGTCCAAGTCTGAAGTGAAACAAATTCCTTGTCTGTGCTCATCACCTCCAGCTGGAACATATAAAGCCCTATTCAATTGAAATCCATTTAGCACTGAATCATGCTAACAAGATAACTTAGACAGGGATGATTCTGTCTGTGTTGAAGGGCAGTCTCCAAGGTGAATAGCTTCCCCAGGCTTGTGGCAGGCTCCAAGGCACTAGTATGATGGATATCTTGTCAGTAAATAAGCTCTTTCAAACTCTTCTTACATCTGCCTTATAGCACTGGGGTGTGTGTGTGTGTGTGTGTGTGTGTGTGTGTGTGTGTGTGTGTGTGTGTGTATGTGTGTGTGTGTGTATGTGTGTGTGTGTGTCTGTTGAGCCCAAGCACTTGAGAAATCACTTGATCCTGATTTAGAAGTAGAGAATTCTGATTTTCCTCAGTGTGCACACATGCTAAGGCACTCAGTTCATGATATTACGGGTACCTTGATAGGTCATTCAGCCTATTCCTCTGCCTCCTGTAGGATTGAAATCTGAAGAATCTAAAGTTAGAAGGGAATACAGAAGCCATCACCCTCATTTTACAGATGAGAAGACTGAGGACCAGGGACATTAAGTGATTTGCCTAAGGTTATATGGGTAGTAAGGAAGAAAAGGGAATAAGCATTTAGTGCCTACTATGTACCAGGCACTATGCTATATGCTTTATAAATGTTATCTTATTTGATCCTTGTAACATCCCTTGGGTTGAGGGAGGGAGGTACTATTATTAGCCCCATTTTACATCTGAGGAAACTGAAGCAGCAAGCAATTAAGTGACCTGCCCAGGATCACACAGCTAGTAAGGGTCTAAAAGGAGGATGTAAATACAGGTCTTCCTGACTTCTAGTGACCATACCACCTAGCTGCTTCTGAAATATCAGAGGCAAGATTTGAAACCACATTCTGTGATTCCAGAGTCAGCCCTCTTTACCACACAGTCTTCTATTCTGTAATGGACAGATAGGTATATTGTTAGTCTTCCCCTGGTGTTGGCATTTAATAATAATAACAACTCATATTTATATAATGTTCTCCTTACAACAAGCCAATGAGGTAAGTATAGCAAATATTGTTATCACTATTTCACAGATGGGGAAGTTGGTTCTCAGAAAAGTTGTGACTTCCTTCAGAAGCAGGAGCTGTTCCCTCAAATAGCATCCTTTGTGAGGTGGAGCTTCCTGGCACTGGAAATGTTCAGAAGGATAATAAATGGCCATCTATAAGTAATGTTATGGAAGAGACAATTGTATTGGGTGTAAGTTTGAGCTAAATATTTAATTCAAATCTGATATAAACTTTATCTCAGCCAGTTGCTCATATTAACTAAAATCTCATTAGTCATTTATTTAGGTAAAATCAAACTCTTTGCCCCTTTTTAACTTTTGTAAAGAAGAAAATTATAAAGGGGTAATTCATTAACCTACATATTTAACATTATCATGAATTAGTTTATCAGGTTAGCCTCAGTAGTTTGCCAGGATCTTCAGAGGACAGAATATATGGAAGAGTAAGTTTTTATGGGAAAGAGAGGGTTGCAGGCCATGTATTTCATACCACTGATTTAGTTCACCCTATGACCTGGAACATAATTTGTTCGAGCAACTAGCATTTTTAAAGCACTTACTATGTATCAGACACTATATACTGGGGATATAAAGGGGGGAAAAACCAACAGCATGTAGTCTTTGCCCACAAGGAGCTCATATTCTATTGAGAACATTCACAAAGTTGTACATATAAGATAGATACATTTTAGGAAAGTCACTTTAGCAGCTGAATGGAGGGTGATTAGAGAGGGTAGAGGCTTGAGGCAATGAGACCAACCAGCTATTATTTATATAGATAGATAGATAGATAGATAGATAGATAGATAGATATAGATAGATAGATATAGATATAGATATAGATATAGATATAGATATAGATATAGATATAGATATAGATATAGATATAGATATAGATATAGATATAGATATAGATATATCTATAAGTGTGAGGTGATGAGAGCCTTCACAAGGGTGGAAACTGTGTAAATGGACAGACACATACCAGAGATGCTTTGAAGATAGGGATTAAGACCTACCAACAAGATTTGACAATGGATTGAACACATGGTACGAGAGCGAGTCGGGATGATACTGAGGTTAAAAGCTCGGGTAACTGGGTGCATGGTGTTGCCCTTGACAATGAAAGGGAAGTTGAGAAGAGGGGAAGGTTTTGGTGGAAAGATAACAAATTCAATTTTGGACATGTTGAGTTTGAGATGCCTATTGGACATCCAGTTCTAGATGTCTAAGAGATAGTTAGAGATGCAAAGGGTTTAAATATAAGAAGACTAGAAAGGTGAGAAAGGATCAGATTACAATTGAAATGCCAAAAAAGAGGACTTCATATTTTATCATAGTGACACTACGAATCTTTTGGAGTTTATTGAGTAGAAGGTAATAGGGTTAGAATTTCACATTGGGAAGATTATTTTGGTAGCTGAGTGGAGGATGAAGCAGACTGAGGAGAGACTTGATGCAAGGGAATCCATCAGAAGACTATTGCAATAGTCCAAGTGAGGTGATGAGGACCTGCACAAGTGATATTGTGAAGACAGAAACAATAAGGGTGTGTGTGTGTGTGTGTGTGTGTGTGTGTGTGTGTGTGTGTGTGTGTGTGTGTGCGCATGGGATGTTGTGAATGTAGAAACTATATTTGGCAATGAGTTGGATATATGGGGTGAGAGGGAGTAGTTGAAGCTGGAACTGCAGTTGTGGGCCTGGGTTACTGGGAAGATGGTGATGCCTTCAATAGTAACTGGGAAATACAGAAGGGAGGGGGAATTAACGAGTTCTGTTTTGGACATGTTGAGTTTGGAATGACTACGGAACATCCATTTTGAGATATCCATGAGGAAGTTGATGATATGAAACTGTAGGTCAGGAGAGAGAACAGGGTTGGATATATATATATAGGTTTGGGATTCATCTGCACAGAGATGATAGTATAGAGGGAAAAAGAGAAAAGGGACAGGACAGATAATTGGATGACAGTCATGGTTAGTGGTCATGACCTGCATGAAGAACCAGTAAAGAGACTGAGAAGGAGCTGTCAGACAAATAAGAGGAGAACCCAGAGAAAGCAATATCAGGGAAATTGAAAGAAGAGAGAGTATCCAGGAGAAAAGAGTTATTGGCAGTATCACAGGTGACAGAGAAGTCAAGAGGGATGGGATGAGATCAAGGGCTCAGCTTGGCAGTCAGGATCAGGGATGAAAGAAGAGATGGTGGACGAAGATGCTTGATTGATGGAAACAGAAGAGGGTAGAAGGATGTCCAAGCAAATGTCATCGATGCGTATAACTGCCTATATTCCTGATAATGGGCATTCATTTTCTACTTAAAGACTTGCAGTGATGGGGAGCTCACTACATCACTGACCTGAAAGGAGATTGGAAAAGCTCTGAAGAATAACTTCAAGATTTTGTCAATAACCAGTCCTTATGTTTGTCAAACATCTTTGTGATGAATGTCTATATGCTTCTCTATAGAGGGCAGAAAGGGCATAACTGAGAGTCACTTTTACAACTTCATTTTACAGCTAATTCATGATGACCACAATATGGACACAAACCTAAATCAGTCAAGAAAGTGATTCATATTTCTAGGCGTACCTAAAAGTCCTTAGGAATCTTCCAACTCTGATTCTTTGCAATCTCAGACACTCCAAATTCGTAAACTGACAACATCCAAAGCTTTTAACATTTTTTTCGGACCTCATCTTTTATTCAAGTTCATAGCTCCCTGCAATAGCTGATCAGTTCATATCTAGGCCTTCTTCTTTCCCAGTACAAAAATAGAAACTGCCTGTTCTGGGCACCAGTGAAATAAAGAATTCCCATCTTATACTAGGAGTAAGAGATTTTGAGCTGTCCAAACCTCAGTATGCTGCTTTTATCAATGAGTTAACTGAGGTGAATGTTAAAGCAACATGTGAGTCATTTGAGCTGCAAGACTTTTTTAGCTTGTGATATTCATGGTTCCTTTCTAAGTCTGGGTTTTTAAGGCTACCATGTATGAGACTGTCGATTTCCTCCTAAATGTTATACCTTTAATTCAGGGATGCTACTGTCAGGTGGACAGTGAGTGGTGCCTGGGCTATGTTGTCCTAATCCTAACAGCCAAATTTCATAGATATGGATAATGGAGAAAGAATTTGGCATCATTTCCCACTTAATTGTGCTTTTTATATCACTGGCATAATGAGCAAGATTATTTAGTCACTCATATTAGTCAACCTTAATAATGATTCATTGCCTAGATGAATTTCCTAGTGTAAGTTCTGGGAAACAGTAATAAAAGGATCTGTAATTCTTTATAGTTTTCAGTTCCAAGTCCTCAGTCAGTGTTATTGGTCTGGCAAAACACCTCACTGTTAAGTCTCTCTCCCTCTTTTCTTTGGGGATGCTCAAATCTCTCCTTCCAAATTCATTCCCTGTAAGTAGACCCACATTACCCAATGCCTGTGGTTAACACGGTTTCCAAAGACAAAGTAATGCTTAGAACAAAGAAAGCTAAACATACTTTCCCCATATTTGGAGGGGGAAAGTTTAAGGCTTCCATGAGGGAATCCAAGGGAAAAAAATATATAGAATTATAACTTTGGGGTCTATAGTACAAGAAAGTTCCCGTAACACAGCATCTGTCCTAATGCTGCCTTGTACTCAATCAGCTCCTGGTGTTCTGGTCCTTTGCCCCTTGGTCTCTGCTTCCACTCAGATTTCCTTTCTCTAGGCTCCTAGCAAGTCTTCCTTTCCTAAGCTCTGTATATCATCTCATCAGAAGCTTGATTACTCCTCATGCTGGTTCCTACCTGGACCCTTTTGAACAAATGTTATCACAAACAGTTCCAGGGGCATTTAAGGGTTACAGTGAGGGAGGAGTAATGATATAACTAATCATTGTTTGTCCAATGGCATTGCTCCCTTCACTCAAAGGACTTGTTAATACTCCATGAAGGAATCACTGGGCATGGCCACAGTTTCACAGTTAGTTTAACACCTGTTTATTGGTTCTGTACATCCTGTTATTTCATCCTGGACGTTCAGAAGCCAATTCCCTCATTCCATAATAGGAGGACTTTTGATAAAAACAGAAAGCCTAACTAATTTTGATGTTTTAAAAGGTTATGTACAACTCTGAGCAAAATTTAAAGAAATACAAATTATATACAATTACATAACTTACCTAATCTAAATTGTTGTGTGGTCAGGTTTTGTCTAGGTTTTAGCAGATTTAATTCATCCTTACCTTTTAATCTTTCTGTTACTCTATCAACCAAATATTCTTATTAACTTGGAGATAACAGTTTCCTAGGTATCTGGTATCTGACTTTATTAGTAAGCCTACACTCCCCACAAATCCCCCAGGTCAAACTGTTTACCATCTCCATTACAATGCTTATCCATTCCTACATTCAGATAGATAACTGGGCTAGACATATCCTGAATTTTTCTCCTCCCCTGGGATTGGCTCCTTCCCTATCAAGGAGCCCATCAGGTTTTCTGACTGAGGTAGGACTCACCTAAATTTCTTTCTTTTGTAATTTTTAAAAAATTTATGAATAAAACAAGTGCCTCCATAACACGGAATAAAAATTAAAAAGAGGATTGCACACAAAGCTACAAATCTATTACAAAAACCAAATCACTAGTATCAAAAACAAAAAGGGTGAATACACCACTAACAAAGAGGACATTAAAGCAGTTCTAAGGAGTTATTCTGCCCAACTGTATGTCAATACACTTAACAATTTAAGTGAAATGGAAGAATATTTACAAAAATATAAACTGCATAGTGAGATTTATACCAGGAATGCAGAGATGATTTAACATAAGGAAAACTATTAACATAATTGATTATATCAATAATAAAAGTAAAAAAATCATATGATTATATCAATACAGAAAAAAAATCTTGATTAAGTACAACACTCATGTCTATTAAAAACACTTGAAAGTATTGATGCAAATGGATTTTTCCTTAAATTGATAAAGAGCATTTATCTAAAACCATCTGTAAGTATTATTTGTAATGAGGCTAAGCAAAAGCCTTCCCAGTAAGATCAGGTGTGACTCACCTGAATTTCACTTTAGTGGAATACATGGCCCCACATGAAATCTCTCATGATTTTTTTTCAATATTAAGGGAGTAGCAAATTTACTTT